AAAAAAAAAAACCAGAAGTCAAGGTTTACACCCGTAAACCCACGTCTGGGAAAACTGGGGTAGGATGACAAGGAGTTTAAAAATAGCACGGTTCTCAAAAAAACCCTACCCCAAAAAAAAAAAAAAAAAAAAAAGAGAACTTACATAATTGGGGGGGGGGGACCTGTAAGCATGTGCAATTATTAATTCTTGAAGGATTAATGAACTTATTAAAGAAAGAAAAGGTCGGGGCTAGAGAGATGGCTCAGTGCTAAGAGCATGGCAGCTCTAGCAGAGGAACTGGCTAACCACCACCTGTAACTCCAGCTCCAGGGGATCCAACACTATCTTCTGACCTCTGTGGGTATTGCATGAGATGGGTGCACTTATATACACGCAGGCAATACATTCATATGTATAAAATAAAAATAAATAAGAGAAAAGGTCATCACAATAAAGAACAGCTCTATAGATGAATACAGTTACAACAGGTAAACATTGAACTACACTTGTAAAAAATGTAAGGTAAGCACTGACTGCTGATTTTACAAAAAACTGTGTTATAACTACATGGAAAGATGGAAATGAGAAGTAGTGCACTTAATCCTTATCTACCCGAAAGAAAGCTGGCATCACATCAGATTTTCAAAACTCAAGAAAATGCAATAAAGCACATTTAGAATTACCCAAAACAAAACCTAAACAGTACAATCTATACATCAACTCCAAAGTAGAAGTGAGGTAGGAAGGCTGGCTTCTATTTTCTTTTTTTTTACTATATACATGGATCTTTAATTTTTACCAAAATTATTTTAAAAACATCACAATAGCCAGGTATGGTGGCACATGCCTCAACACAGAAAGTTTCTTGATTATGAATCTTATTAAAGTAGAAATATCAGTATAGCTTTAATATGTCCAAAGTAACCTCAACTATTTCTTACTTACTGGATCAATGCTCATTTAAAGAGGTTATAGGCAGGCGGCTGCAGTGATAGCCCAGGGTTTAAGAGCACTGACTGCTCTTGTAGAGGACTCAGGTTTGATTCCTAGAACCCACATAAGCGAACATTCATCCGGAACTCCAGTTCCAGGGGAATCCAATGCTGTCTGACCTCTTGAGAGCATTGCACAACATGGATACACTTACACACATGCAGCCAATATACTTATACACATGAAATTAAAAAATAAATTTTTAAAAAGAGCTCATAGGCAACTTTGAGGCATAGTGCTATACACCCATAATTTTAGCAGTCTGGAGGCTAAGGTAAGGGGAACGATTGCAGGGCATAACAAAACACTGCTGCCCAGAAACAGAAGAAAAAAGGGAGGAAGAGCAGGGAGGAAGGAAGGAAAAGAATTGGAGGAGGGTGACAACCAAGATTATTTAGTGAAAGTAACCATGTATATATGAATTGTTTTATAGATTTAAGACGTGCTTAACACAGCTATACTAAACACCTTTATAAGACAATTAAAACGATTCTACTTTTAGGTTTGTCATACTGTGCAATAAGATAAACCCAACTTTGAAGAGTTGCTTCTACTTATTGCTTTTATATATGAGAAGAAAAATTCTGGTATGCCAGTAGTCTAAAGAACTTTTACCAACCTCTTAAGTGGCAAAAGTAACTTAAATGGATAAAAGTTGGGAATGAGGAATTAAGAAAAAGGAACTTTTCACTAAATATCAGTATCAAGCAGATCAATTTCAACTATGCTCCCAAGAGTCATGAGCCTGTCAGGTGCACAGACACAAAACCTTATCACAGTTGGATAACCCTGACCTACTAGAACCAATTCCTCTGTCTATAAAGAACTTAAGCCAAATCAGGGGTGGGGGAGGGACACCTAAGGACCCTCAAGATTCTGTTGAAAGAAAGGGAGGGCTATAAGAAAGAACTGAGATTCCAAGACAGTCAGACAAAGACTGCCTTCAATTTTACCGCTCTGTGCATGTGTGGGGTGGGACAAGACACTTGCTAAACAGTCAAGGTAATTTATAAGTGTGCAAAGCACTTCCTCAGTAGGTACACAATATTGGGTTGCATTATACATTTTAAAAGGTACTTTGGCCCAGGTGTGGTGGCACATGCCTTTAATCCCAGCACTCTGAGAGGCAGAAGCAGGTGGATCTCTTTGAGTTCAAGGCTAGCCCGGGCTACACAGCAAGAACCAGGTACTTTGGAATTCATCTTTCTTTGAGACAGTGGTTTATTAAATAGCCCTGGCTGGCCTAAAACTTGCTATAGAGACCAGGCTGGTCTTGTTCTCAATGATGTGGTTGCCTCTGCCTCCTAAGTGATGGGATTAAAAACTATACCACCAGTACCCAGAATATATCTTTTTTAACTCTTAAGTAAATCTAGTGTCAGACAAGTACAGGTTAACTTTGTAAAGCAACAACCTAAGTAATACACCATAGTAATTTACTAACTAAAGCATTAGTCATATTAAGAAACAACATTAAAGGAGAGATTTCATTAAAATGTTAACCAAGTTAAGGAGTTTTTGCATCTTAAAAGATGTGGGCCCTCACTAAAATCCTGTAAACTTCATTAAAGAGTTATTACCAAAAAACAGTTTCTTTTGTAGCATGTATTTGTAAACCAATACAAACAGACTCAACATTATCCCTGAGACTTTAGCATTTAGGCAAGAAACAAGACACTTTTTTAAACAGTAAGGAGAACTGAAAGATTTCATTGAAAAGCTCATTATGAACTATTGGAAATAAATGGGTAATTATGTGTAGTGCTTCTGATGCAGGAAAAATTAATAGGCCATTCTTACTTTGGATGCTACAGCAAAATAAAGACCAATGATACAAACCCAGAAAATGTTAGTCAACAGATTACTTAAACATGGATGCACAGAAGGAAACTGTATCATATAGATCAAGTTGTAGTTATATAATTTCACTATCAGACTAAGGGCTATGAAGTCCACTTCTGAGTGTTGGGATTAAAGGTGTGTGCCACTATGCTTGCCTTCATGAACATTTTTAAGTGAAACCAGCCTTTTAAACAAATGCCCTTAGATAAAGAATACAGTAACTACTGTTATTCCTGCCTTTAAACAGCTTTACTTTTATACTTTCAGTGCAAACTGCAACACATTTGGGCAAAGGCAAATAACATCATATTACTGTTATGAATATGTTCTTAGTATCTCAAGCCACAAGAAGGGGCTTGGAAATTCTCAAGAGTTCCTAACCCACACTGCTGTGCTACACTAATCCACTACAGGGAAACAGTTTTGAAAATATTCTGTCAGAGTAAGCCATTTGTTTTCCAATATATTAGTGAGAATAAAATTCTCAAAGGCAGGATGATATCTGAATGTTTATGTGTCCTCCCCCAGGTTCAAATCCTACCATCTAAGGTGACAGTATTGAGAAAAGGGGGCTGGGCTTTGGGAAAGTGACTAGATGCTGAGGGCAGAGCCTTTAGGGTTTGGATTAGTATTACAAGAGTGCTAGCTTCTACTATATGAAGACAGAGTTAAGACCCTAGAAGCAGGCCCTCACCAGGTACAATTAACCAGCACTTTCACTTGGACTTTCAAGGGTCCAGAAATGGAACAAATCAATGTTTGTGGTTTAGACAAACCTGCTTTATGGTGTCTTTGTAACACTGCTTTGTTAAAGCAGCCCAAACGGCTTAAGAAAGACACAGGATGGACTAGGGGAGATGGCTCACCTACCGTTTTTGCAGAGGACCCAGGTTGCCTTCTCAGCACCCACATGGTGGTTCACAACTAACTACTTGTAACTCCAGTTCAAAGTGTTACAATGCCCTCTTCTGACTGGCCTCTATTACTTCCTGCATGGACATGGTACACATATACTCATGCATGTAAAAAATTACAAGCACAGTATAGTGAAAATAAACCTCATTAAATACACTTCTGATCTCATCTTAGAAGAAAGCAGGTGAAATAATTTAACAAAAGTCACAAGAGTTTATTACTGAATAGTGACTTGGTTAAAATATACTTCATAGTACTTTCTGTCTAAATACAGTACTGTGAAAATCATGCAGGTGGAGGCCAGTCTGGTTGACATATTGACATACTGAGTGTGAGTTTGCAGCCACCTAGGGTTACTGGGAGACCCTGTCACAGAAGGACAGTAAGAAAAGGAAAACGAAAAAAGCAGTACAGTGAAAATTAAATCTTCTTTACATTCTTTATTGCAGGCTGTCATGCTACGCCTCTTTAACTCAACCTAACCAATGACCTTACAAACTCAGTATTAACTCTAGCAAAAGCATAATGGGATCAAAGGGTACCTTAAAGAAAGCATGTGAGTTAAGCATGTGAGTATGTCAACCAAACCCCAAGGTCCAGTGCTGGTCTGTTTCCAATGTTCTTATTTAACATACAAAATCTTTCTGGGGTCTTCATGAACATACTTGAGAATTCACAATTTTAGTCACCAGGAACACAACTCAAAGGCTCCTTCTATGTTTAAATAAAGAAAGCCAGGCATGGTGGTGCACGCCTGTAGTTCCAGCACTTGGGAGGCAGAGGCAGGCGGATCTCTGTGAATTCAAGGCCAGCCTGGTCTACATAGTAAGTTCCAGGACAGCTGGGGCTACAGGGAGACCCTGCTTCAAAAAAACAAAAAACAAAAAAAAAAAAAAAAAAAAAAAAAAAAAAAGAAAAGAAAAAGAAAAAGGTTCCAATGTTAAGAAAATCCTTACATAAGAATGAATGCCACTGTGAAAGGTTACTACTGGTTCTTTTGAACTTAATTCAAATGCTACCAATCTACATGTGAAGAAGCCCAGACAAAGGGCCTAGAAAAAGTTACCTCTCCTTTTGTGGAAAATAAACTCTACAAATCCTAATGCATAAATTATACCAGGATAAAAAACAAATCTAGTATTTTATGAAAAACGCTTTAAAATTGTTGCCTAAATAGTCAATTCTGATATATAACTTACCTTGTTCAATTAAGAACATTTCCAACAAACCAGGCTGAAGAGAATTTATACACTTTAGATTCAACAAGGCTCTTAAGATTACTTCTCCCTCCTTCACAAGTGTGAAAATTTTTGATCTTAGGTAAGGGAATTTCTTGACATCTCAGTATTTTCCTGTTTTTTGATGGAGATGACCTTTGCTATCGTGTTATTCTGTTTCTGTAAAGAGCGTATGTTATTACAATCGTTTGTGCAACTGCTATATAAAAATATGAAATCAAAATGAAATACAAAGGCTTTTACAAATCTGAGCACCTATCTTGTTTCAGAGCTTATAATCAATCTAGTATCCTATTTAATGTTTTAACCTGCACATGCTAAATGTCTTTGGAAGGTGGAGGAACTACTAATCTATAAGGTTACGGATTCTATTAAAATCCTCCATTGCACTTTGTTTCTGACAATCTCACTTAGTAGCCTTGCCTAACCCTTCCAAGAGTCTTAAAAAAAAAAAAATCCTACGGCTGGCATGGTGGGTATGCTTTTAATCCCAGCACTTGGGAGGCAGAGGCAGGCAGATCTCTGTGCGATCAAGGACAGCCTGGTCTCCACTATCGAGTTCAGCTCAAAGCAAGACACTGCCTACGTATTCCTTTGATGCTCTTAAAGTCATCAATCCAAAAACAAACCATAAGGCTTACTAAGAGGATACTACTATATTCCATTATGGGGGTTTAAAAATTGTTAATTCACCACAGCTAGGCTAAGATAACTCTTCATAATCTTACACATAGTTCTACATTTCTCCAAATAATTGAGAAGGAACACACCGAAAGGGAGAAGCTAACTTAGCTCAGCAAAATGGCTGTAGCACTCAGGCTGCGTATCAGGAACCCGGACTCGGGTTCCATCCTAGACCTGTACACCGTAGTTCAGTATTCATCGAAGCAGCGGGTGCTCCAGAGGGGCTTCCTCAAAAACCCTGGCTTCAAAGGCACTCTCGCTCCCGGGGAAAGCTCGGGAAAGACAATGCTCAAGAGCTGGAAATAACCCACAGCACCACGGGTGCAGCTCTGCAAAGCCTCCCCGAGCCTGCGACGCCCCCAGAGCTGCGGCGGCCGGAAGCCGTGAGGTCGCCCGCGGCCTGGGCAACATGACGCCCCACGCGCGGCGGAGGAAGCCGAGGCGCCGGCGCCCATTTTGTCCTCGGCCCTTGCCGCTTCCCGCCCCCCGCGGCCTGGCCACCTAGGCGAGGCCGGGGTCTGTGTTCTGGGCTGGGCCCGCAGGTCCGAGACGCTAGGCCGTGAGGCCTGCTTCCCGCCAGCCCCGGTCTGCGTCGGCCTCCGCAGGCCCGGGATTCTGCCGTCCGCCTCAGCCCGCCGCGCCGCCCGCGGCCTCGCGCACAGTCCCGCTCCGGACCCGTCGCCCCGCAGCGCCGCGCGCGCCCGCAGGACTCACCCCCCGGCAAACAGATGCACCAGCGTGTCCCTCTGGCTCATTCTCTCTTCCGCATGTCCTCCGAGCGCTGAGGGGGTGGGGCGCGGAGCCAGCGGCCCGCTACGGCCGACAGGGGACGCCGGGGAAGCGGGCGGAGACGCGGCTGCTGACCGCCACCGGCAGAGCCTCCCCGCAGCGTTCCGGGCGCGCCCGCTGCCAGCGCACCTACCGCGACCTTCCCGAGGCTGCGCGGCCAGGGCGTGCGGAGCCCGAGGTCTCTGCATAAACAGAGGCTCCTATTGGGCTGGGCTGCGTGACGTCACGAGGCCCGCACACCGCTTTCACGTGATCACGCCGGGGCTTCTCAATGAAAGGGCGGCTGAGCGGGGCGGGAGCGCGTGCCCGAGGTTAGTACGTGGGCGCCGTCGCACCTATCTGCCAATTCCCAGGGCTGCGGGGCCGGCGCCTTCGGGGCCTGCAAAGACCAGCGCGGTCCTGGAAGAAACAAGCTTGGGTTCCAAGGCCACAGCGGAGCTACTTAAAAAAAATGTAGATTTAGGACCATTCTGCTTCTTGTCTAAGAAAGTACGGAATGTGTGAAAAGGCTTGTGCAAAGACCTTGTGTGAACTACTGTAAATAGGACAGCATTAAACATGATCTCTGCGGTAGTAGAAAATTGAGACCTATTGGGGAGTGCTGAAATAAAATCATGAAACATTCTACTTTGGGTTTTTTTGTGTGTTGTTTGTTCTGTTTTCGACACAGAATCTATGTAGCCCTGGCTGACTTGAAACTCAGATACCGGCCCCACCGGCCTGGCTTCTAGAGTACTGGGATTAAAAGCGTGCACTACCACGCCTTGCACAACATTCTTTGGATGGAATGGTGACCCGGTGCCTAAGGTAAGGTAGAGTCAAGTGGGAAAACAAAATCTAAGTGTACTATGTAAAAGGCAAGTATATTAAAACAGGAAGGTTTATTTTAGGAAGGATGAAATGGTTACTTTGATAGGAATTTTTGTTAACTAGTTATTATTTCTAGGATACAAATGAACAGACAAAATAAAATAATAGAAATTCATATGCTTATTATCCAACATGAACGAATTTTATTATTTTGTGTTTGCTCACACAACTTCCCTTCCTCCTGCATGCCCTTCACCACCATTTCCAGCCCATGTGGAATTCTCCAGACCTCTTTCCTCTGAGCACTGCTTCCTTCATGAAGTCTGATTGCCTTAGCACTTCGCGTCCTTTACCTGCTCTGACAAAATGTACAGGATTGCATGTGTTCACTCCACAGTAGAGGTGGAGTCTATAAAAGTATTTAAAACACCTACACAGTGCCAGTTATAAGTAGTGTTGGTGTTCTTTATTTTAATGATTACTCATTACTCTGTGTTGTGGGTTACATATAGTCAGAGGACAACTTTCAGGAGTTGATCCTCTCCTCTGGTGGGTTCTAGGGTTTAACTCAGGTAGTCAGACTGGCATGGGCTTTACTCCTGAGCCATGCCTCCCAATCTATTGTTGGTATTCTTCCTTTTTTTTTTTTTTAAAGAGAAGTTGTCTCTATGCTCCCCAAGCTGACCTGGACATCCTGGGCTCAAGTAATTCTCCCATCCCTCCTCTGTAGTAGATGGTACTGTATGCACCTGACACAGCACCACTGGTATTTCTTGAGCACTCACTAAAGCTCCAACTTGGAGCCAAACTGCTTAAAACATTTCCTCATTAAGCTCTCAAAATTAGTCTATGAGATAAGCATTATAACCCCCCCCAATTTCATATGAGGAAATAGGTTTAGAGTAATTAAGTGCCTTGCCGAAGGTCACTCAGTTCATCCTGGAGGAACTGGCATTTGAATCCAGTTGGAGTGTGACTTCAGAGCTTCAGTTGGTAAAGTTGGTAAAAGCTGCTTAGTGGATCAGAAAAAAAATTGGCAAAACCAGAAAAGTGGACTCAGAGAGCGACACCCTGGGTCAATAGCCAAAAATTCTGGCCTTAACATCCAATGGTTATTTCTCATAGCAGTTTTGTTGAGATACAATTCTTATACAGATGTTAAAGTGTGTTGTTTAATGGGTTTCAGTATATTTTCATGATTGTGCAGTCCTCACTACCACCTAATTCCGGAACAATTTCCTAACCTCTAAAGAAACCATGTTCTTGTTAGTAATCACTCCCATTGTCTGCTCCTCCTGCTCCCTAGAAACCACTGGTCTAGTTCTCTCTCTCTCTCTCTCTCTCTCTCTCTCTCTCTCTCTCTCTCTGCCTATTCTGGACATTATATATAAATAAATCATACACTGTGTCACCTTGTGTGAGGGGTATTTTCCTCTACTAAACAGTATCTTCAAAATCCACTCCTGTTGTAGCATGCTGCTCGTTTAGCTGCCCCATTCCCTTCCCTTTCATGACTATCACAATGATAGATTCTATGATTCAGTCTCAGTGAATGACCATTTGGGTTGTTTTTCCTCTCAGAGGCTATTATGAACACTGCTAAGCTGAACAACCACCTGCATGGTTCCTGAGTCTCTTGGGAGTAGAGATTCCCGGCCAGATGATAACTCTGGTAACCTTTTGAAGAACTGTCCAACATTTCCAAAGTGGCTGCACCATGTATTTTTCTTTTAGGATAATAGCTATAACTCTGGGTATTTAAAAAAGGGACTGCCACTGTAATTACAATTAAAGGAGTATGTAGAACAAGTGAGGGAGTCAGAGTCTGCAGTAACAGTTATTTCTACAAGCAATGACAACTCCCATGTGGACATTTCCTTTTCGGCATTATTAAGAGGCCGCTGTGGAAGTGGACTCTGTCCCGCGCTTCAGGCTGCTGAGCCCTGGGCGCCGCCCATGGAGACGCAGATGCTGGAGGGCTCACTCTTGCAGCCCAGTCCTCTGCCGGGTCGTTCATAGCCCTCCTGCCCCTCTGGACTCCTGCACGGTTTCAAGAGATTCTTTCAAGAGCAGTTCTTGCGCTTTCTACAACAAGCGTCTACGAGCTTCCCTGAAGGCAGAGGGATGGAACCAAGACAGCGCTTCCCATCGGACACATCCTCACCACCACCCCACTTTCTACCGAAAGGACTTCTGGGAGTTGTAGTCTAGTGGCTAGGGGACGAAATTGATCTTCCCTGTGGCGGTGGTCACGATCCTCTGAGTACCTCAAAACAAGAACACGCAACCAGACACACTGGTGAAGTAAAGGGATTCAACTGACAAGAACTGGCACTTTTATTTTAATTGCTAAAGAGCTGAAGAAAAATCCTAAGTAACTCTGAGGGTTGGGTGCAGTAGGACACAGCCAGACTAGTGCCTCTCTCTTTGCCTCTGTCAAACTCTTTTATTTTTCTTTCTATATTTCCCCCTGTCTTTTTTTTTTTTTTTTGAAACAAGGTCTCCCTGTAGCCCCAGCTGGCCTTGAACTCACAGAGATCCGCCTGCCTCTGCCTCCCACTGCTGGGATTAAAGGCGTGCACCACCTCACTCGGCTCCCAGTTATTCTTGTAGATCCAGAAATTCTTGTAGGCGTCAAGCCTTGTTTTGGCAACATCAATTTTTAGATGTTTAGGGAGTTTTTGTTGTGTAAGATTGAGTATATCCTTGCTGGGCATGCTGGCACATGCCCTTAATCCCAGCACTGGGGGAGGCAGAGGCAGGAGGACCTCTATGAGATCCAGGCTAGCCTGGTCCACATAGTGAGTTCCAGGTCAGCTGGGGCTACAGGGAGACCCTGTCTCAAAAAGATTAAGTATATTCTCTTAGCCAGATACCTTTCCTTTTTTTCTTTCTTTCTTTCTTTCTTTCTTTCTTTCTTTCTTTCTTTCTTTCTTTCTTTCGAGATCGGGTCTCATGCATCTCAAACTCACTACATATTTGAGGATGACCTTGAATTTCTGGTCGTCCTGTTTTCACCACCCAAATACTGGGATTATGAGATTACAGGTGTGTGTCTCCAAACCTGGTATGTAAGTGCACCCGTGTTGTGCAGTGCCCAAGGAGGTCAGAAGAGGGCGTCGAATTCCCCTGGAACTAGAGTTAAGGATGGTAGTTAGCCGCCAATGGGTGCTGGGAATCGAACCCAGGTCCTCTGCAAGAGCAATGCACTCATAAAATAACAATAGTCAGTAAAGCATTTTTTTTTTAAATCCTCTAGTCAATCTCCTTTCCCAAATCCTACTATTCAGTAGGAATAGTGGAATTGAATCCTACTATTCAATCCTACTAACAATAGGATGAACATCCCTCTGAACCCTCTATGTCATGTTGCCGATAATCACAAAGCACTTTAAAATCATTTGGCACTTTCTGTGGCCAGGCCTTGATTGCTTTGTTTTAAGATTTATTGAGTTATAATTGACATACAATAAACCACACACTTAAACAATATAGTTTGATATTTTGTTAGATTATACACCAGAAACTACCACTGTGATCAAGGTAATTGACATGGCCACCAACCCCCACCTCCAAAATCTTCTGCCCTTTGTAATCTTTTCAGTTTCCTTTAACCCTTCTGGGCAACTACTGTCTGCCTTACCACTATAGATTCATTTACATTTATCTAGAATTTTGTCTAAATGAAATCACAGAATGTGCATATATATTTTCCATTGGCTTATTTTGATGAATGCAGTTATTCTGAGACTTATTTATGTAGCAGCATGAACCAATACTTCATTTCTTCTCTTGTGATAGACATTTAGGTTATGTGCAGTATTTGGTTATTACAAATATGTGGCTGTGAATACTCATGTGCTTGCAATTGTATAGACATATCATTCCTCTTATATACCAGGCATTGTCATAAATACTTGGCAAATATTTAAGTCAATCCTTTCTACCAGCATTTTAAGGAAATCCCATCAATAGACAGGAAATTGAGATACAAAGAGATTAGGAGACTTATCAAATTGACCCAACTTGCAAGTAATGATCTAGGATGGGAACTAGAGTCTGGCTCCAAAGTCTGTACTTTTATCCTCTAGTCTACATTCTTATCTCAATAGCTTGTTTTTTTTTTTTTGTTGTTGTTGTTGTTTTTTTCCCCGATTGAGAATATAAGCTTGTGGTTCCTATGAAAACTTGAGCAATTTTGGAGTGACTTCAGAAAACAAGGTGCCAGAGAAGACAGTGTGCTCACACCTGAACTCCAAGGTGGAAAAATCACAGGGCAGGTGCTTCCTCATGCAGTTTAATCTCCCACTGGGTGCCTTCCCATCAGGCACTCTGACATTTATATTCAGCGGTATTTAATGACGCTTAGATATATACCCAGGTGATAAACATACTGGAGATAGGTAAAAAGCTTTGCTTGCAAAAATGGGTTTGCCCTGGAGTGAATCAACTGTTTCCTTCTGGCAAACACAATTTCTCAGGGTCCAGGAGAGTGTCCCAGATCCTGGGGACAACGGGGCGGGGGTGGGTGGAAGGGGACAACCTTAGAATTTAAAAAAGGACTTTTTCTACTTTTAGGAGACGAATGTTAGAAGGGTGGGGAAGACTTACAGAGGAAAGCACAGGTGTTTTGGCAATATGGGCAAAACACACTTTCTCTGCCAGGACATGCCCAGTGTTTCAAAATTGGTGGCACTGTGCACTTCTCTGCTTCCCACTTAAGAACCCACCTAAAAGGGCTGGAGAGATAGCTCAGCAGTTAAGAGCACTGGCTGCTCTTGCAGAGGACC